GTATACATCCAGATCCGAGGATAAGCAGCTGTTGGGAAGGAAGTATGTGGATCGAGGTAGTAGAGGATGAGACAAATCAGGATCAAAGGCTTAGGAATAACAGGGAATCGCGAATTGGCATCATTGGGCACAAGTGGTTGGTTTCTTTATTTGCTCCACACTTAGTGTACTACGGACACCTCGGATCAAGGCTTATACTGGTTATACAAGATGATCTCTTATTAGGAATATTGTATTTAGTGTTGTTTGAATAACTGGACAATATTTTGGCCAGATCCAACAACCTAATACTTATTCCATACGTGCAAAATCCGGATCCACAGTATTCAGTGCTTGGTTGTGAAGATCCATCGATCTCTCAACTCCCCAAGATCCAGCCATCGGAGGCTACACGCAACTCAAAGGGATCGCAAGATCAACAACCATCAACACACCAAGGCAATAACATGGCCGGATATAAGATCCGCCACCGGTGATCCACGTTCGACAGATCCCGTGGACTCCAGATCAACCTACTCCGCAGCAGAGCGAAGACGTTCCGCGCTTTTGCCCCACATTCCTGCGTCTCGCCAAGGCATTCAAGATCTTCAACACTTGGACCTCCCTTGCAGTTACCGGAGGACCAAGATCCAGCCCTACAGACGGGTACACAAGGTGAGGAAGTTCAGCTGATCACGGATCAACAGAAGTACCCCTTCCTATAGTAGTGTCCTGAACACAGAGACAAGCCGGATCCAGCATCTTCGCAGATTTTGCAGATCCCGCTCCTCCACAATGGTGCGCGTGCCCGGAGCTTCTGGTGACTCGGTATTTCACCGTGAGTCTCAAGAAAAAGTTTAAGTGAAGACTGAACAAGGGAACGCGATGATCCTGACTCGCGTTAAGATCCACTAACAAAACAAACAAGGTGAAAGCTGAACCGTATTCATTTATCGATCCGTATAAGCCAACACTGTATATGCCTAAGGGCAGGTAAGTCTCTGGATCCGTGCTTGGGAAACCAAGATCCAAAACTGTGCGGAAGAAGATGAAAGCTCCAGACGACGAGGAAGACGAAGATCACACTGGATTCGGCTGGTCGGAAGTGGATCTGAAGTCCATCTATCACCGCAAGGAGCTACGTGACTTCCTAGACCAGGATCCAGTGATCCGGATCATGAAGCTCAAGCGGATCGCGGATTCAATGGAACCGGTGACTGCCCCGCCACACTCTCCAACAAAGTTGATGCAGCGATGGAGCTGATCCGCCTGTTGAAAGAGGCCGGAATGATTCCTGGATCCTTCGACGCAGACGCACTGTTTGACTTGGATCTTCATGTGATCCAAACTGCCAGCTGCGATCAGTTCCAGAAATTGAAGACCTAGTCGGTGAGGTGCCCCCAGCCCGGATCCACTGCCATTGACCCCGCTCGACGCCGTCGATAACTTGACACTATCCGTCAGCCGCGAAAGATGGATCCGATACTTCCTCGGAGCCACTGCGACGGATGTCCCTAGGACTCTCTGGGGCGTCAATGCTGGAGGCGAGATCCAGGATCCGCCGCACTAGTCCAGCTAGAAGCAGTCGCCGCGATAATAGATCCGCACCAACGGATCAAGCCACAGCCACCGAGAGTTCAGACGGATCAGTCGGTACATCGCAGAAGTTCTTCAATGCTGTAATGGACCGATACCTGGCCGAAGACCGAGAGGAGAACAAAGATCCAGCTTCTACACGGCCACAGCATCAAGGATCACAAGACGCCGAGATGGAGTCCATTCGATCTTCCGATCATGGATCTCGCTGGGAGTATAACCCGGACGATGTAGATTTTCCCACCTCGACGCAAGCCACCGTGGCCACAGCTGCTGCTGGATCCACAGGTTTCACCATAATCCAACGGGTCCGGATCTCGGCGATCTCGGATCTCAAGGGGTTCACTGGCAAGAATTAAGACGAAGATCGCGCGCGAGCGTGGATCAGCAAAATTATATCTGCGTTCGTGCGAGATCAAGCGTCAGATGACGAAAAATGCTTGACCTTCGCAGATTTTCTCGCTGGATCTGCGAAGAACTGGTTTTACCAGCTGAGTAGATGCACTCGCAACAAATGGAGTGATCTACTACGAAGCTTCCAGATCCAGTACTACGGAATTGGAGTATCGGTAGCAAGACAATACTACCATACGCGACACAGATCCGGTGAGTCGCCACTGGATTACTTGTATCGGTAGCAAGACAATACTACCATACGCGACACAGATCCGGTGAGTCGCCACTGGATTACTTGTATCGGTAGCAAGACAATACTACCATACGCGACACAGATCCGGTGAGTCGCCACTGGATTACTTGTATCGGTAGCAAGACAATACTACCATACGCGACACAGATCCGGTGAGTCGCCACTGGATTACTTGTATCGGTAGCAAGACAATACTACCATACGCGACACAGATCCGGTGAGTCGCCACTGGATTACTTGTATCGGCTCCATGTGGCGGGACTCCGCGCGAGATTGAAGATCAAGGATGGCAGCGCGAAGGAACGACGTGAACATGTGGATCATTACATCGAGACTTTTGACGATCAAGATCTAGCGGGAAGGTTAACCTTGCTGCGATTAACTGGCGCGGAGGATCTTGAAGAAGGTCTTCGCGCTCGGGATCGCGCAAAGAATTTTCAAAGAAGGCAGCGTTCGGATCCAGCAAATACCGACAGAAGCCAACCAACACGGCCCCCTCTGCTCCAGCGAAACTGGTGCGCACGATTCAGATCCAAGCTAATGATTCTGGATCCAGCAGTGAGTCTGACGGATTGGGCGGATCCGACTCGGACATCGACAGTCATCGCAGGATCTTCCTTGCATCGAATGAAGATGTCACCTGGAAGGTAGGGAAAGAGTCAGCAGAATCCAGAACCACGACTTCCGGACCGAGATCATGGCCATCAAGATCACAACTCGAAGATCCACGCTGATGGTTTCAACTGGGATCGGTGCTCACACTGTGAATCCAGAAAGCACCGGATCTTTGTTGCTGGAAGCGTGTTACATGCACGAAGTGTGGCAAGAGAGGACATCCCTCGGATCGCTGACTTTTCGTGTGTCGTGGATATGGAGAACTGCATGACGTGGGAAAATGTCCGTTGGAAGAGTTCTATAAAAGAGATCCGTCAATGGTTGTTACCCACGAAGCACATGGGTATGTTACCCGAAGCTGCTGAGAAGATGTTAAACTAGGACGCTCGTCAGGGTGGAATCCGATACGGGTCAAACGTTCTAGATACTGCATCTAAGCATTTGTGAACAAGACATCGGTAGATCAGGTTAGTAAACGACCCGATCTACACTGTAATAAATGTTAGCTGGATGGGAAACGTACCTTCACAATTTCAAGTCTTCGCCAAGTCGACGAATATGCCAGATCCGAAGTCACCATGAGCGTGGATCTCCAACCAGGGGAATCACGAGTTTATTGGAGACAGCAGAATCCAGATCTATGGGTTGAATCCACGGATCATGAAGTTACTCCTGAGATACAGAGGCAAGATCTCGGAGTACCAACGTCAACGACCATGGATCTACTACCGGGGGAATCCCGTGGTTACTGGAAGCATCATTCTCCAGGTAAATGGTTTCGTCAAGCGTAGATCGCAGGCAAGATCCACAATGAGAAAGCGACCTTACTCTTAGATACCGGCGCCGAGGTGTCTATCGTGGATACTGCCTTTGCTCGTAAGGTTGGTTGCTATATCGACTCGAGTCAGATCCAGGACTGTGTGGGAATTGGTGATAATGTGTACCAGACGGAAGGAAGAACTCGGATAAAGGTCCTTGCTGGATCACTGGTATATTTATTCGATATCTGGGTGGGTGATCTGACTGGCCAACAAGCTATACTTGATATGGATTACATTTTTCCAGCCGGGATCCGCCTTGATCTAGCCCATGGATCGATCTCTTTTCCGGATGAAGTCCGGATCCAGCTTAGCGCGAGGTGACAGCTTTATAGCGATAAGGCGAAGATCACCAACGTCGGCCAATACCTTCGGATCCAAGCAGGAGAGTCGGTGGAACTGCCATTGCGCCTGAGGTCGTCAATCCACAACAAGCTGTGGGTCACGCATGGGGATCGATGGGTGCCGAGAATAGCCGATGGACGAGGGAGGACGAAAAATATCTTGATCACCAACATCGGGGACGAGGTGTTGATCCTGCATCAAGACCAACGGATCGGGATCTAGCTAGCCGGAGACCATGTGCCACGGATACCGGGTTTCATCTCGATCGGCTCTCGTCGTTACATGAAGTGGCAGAATCTAGCTTTGGAAGCCACGACAGACGCTCGATCCGAAGACATGGAGATCAAAATCCCGCTCACACCTGTGGTGGAGCCGCCCAAGTACAAAATTCCGTGCGCAATACACCAAAGGACGAAAACGACGTTGACCCAGTGTCGGAAGGTCGAGGCGTGTCAGGATCAAGATATTCCTGACTGCCTACCTTTGGACATGTTGCCGTCGGATAAGTCGTCATCGGACAAATCACCGTCGGAGATTCAACCGTTGGATCTAACGTCTGTCGCAAGTGAGGAGTCGGATCTGTCGTTTATCGCCGACGAAGATTCTATATCGTATGCCGTAATGGTAAAGGAGGCCCTAGAAGATCTCGATCAAGTAGCGTCAGACGTGTGAGCAACTAATCCGTCGTTGGTGGAAACCACAGGCGTAGTGGAAACGCGAGAAAAGGACGGCCGAGACGGAATAGGGGTTGTCAGTCAGGATCAACTACATTCAAGAGAGCAACATCAAGGAACATCACCGTCGGAAAGCGGCGGATCAGATCTGCCATCAATGATGAGTGTACAATCTGGGACGGTGCTTGTGATCGGTGATCCGTTGAACGACAAGTGCGCCGCATCTATGTCGCAAAAAAACGCAAAAAACGGACATGGATCCATCACCTGTTGTTGAAGATCAACCACGCACATCGGATCTGGACCTCACCTGGGACTCAGATCATGATTATGATGAATGTGTATACTACCATGAAGGAAGATATCTACACGCGGAGATGTCGATGGTCAAATTGTAGTACTGCCAGAAGTGCCTGTGATGACAGACGATGTGAAGATCGAGGACATTCCGCTATGTGGATCTGATAATCAGACCCCAGAAGAAATTGATCGACTTCCCCAAAGGATCTGGAAGTTCCGACATATCTTGATAGGCAAGGGAAAGGCCCTTCCGCCGGCGGCTAGAGGTGTGGCGTGCGATATCGGCGTGTAGGAGCGAGACCTAACGCCCTGAAGAGTCGTAAGTTGCGGATCCAGTTCAGGGAGAAGCTGGCAGACTTGATCAAGGGTCTGTTGTCCGCCAAGATGATCAACTACTCTAGATCACCATGGGCTTCCCCGATAGTGGTGATCATCAAGAAGCATGGAGTGGGTATTAGGTTGTCTATTGATTATCGGCTGGTTAACAGCTTGACCCAGCTAATTATCTACCCAATGCCCTTGATCAACTACCTACTTGAAAATCTGGAGTTGACACTTTGGTACTGTTCTTTGGATATGGCGAGTGCATTGAAGACTATGCAATTTATGCGTCAGTTCTGTATGAATTGTGAGAAATTGACTTTGCTGCGATGGTGGAAGAGACTGCTCAAGCGCGGTTCCGATAAGTGTTAGAAACGGAGAACAGGGATCGAGGACCACAGGAAGAGCAGGAGGGCGACCACCGAAAGACTATGGATCTGGAGGCGCAAGGTCCTACCGAGTTGGATCCGCGTTGGATCCATGCCCATCGGTTATTCAGTGCGCTCAAAGCCAAGATCGCTACTACCCCGATCCTACGGCATTTCGATCCAGACCGTAGAGCCACGGTTATGGTATATGCTAGCAATTGGGCCATCTCGGGGTCGCTGTTGCAGGAACACATCCAGAGCTATTACCCGTGATGCTTGCGAGCCTCACTCTGAAGTCGATTGAGTGAAACTGTGGCACCGCGGAGAAGGAGGTATTAGCCTTTCTGAGGATCCTGGATCTTAACTACAACGCACTAGTCGGGCGCCCGATTCACGTGTTGACCCGAGATTGGGCCGGGAGTGCTGATAGCTTAGCAAGCGCTGCTCTGTAACGGCAATGTGGTATCGAGATAGAGTCTGACAAGGCGACACAGGATCTCATAACTTTAAATCGGTTGGATGAGATCCTGATAGTGAAGGTCGAAGACGAGATCCCACAGATATCAGCTGTGACGACCTGATCTAAGGCTAGATCTGGAGTGCGTATTGAATCTGATCCAGACTCCCAGAGGAGGTCGTGAGAGAGCTACAGATCGAGCGGATAGCAAGCGCAAGACGAAGAGTCGTGGATCCTGGGCTTGAAGAAGTATATGGTTGGGGAGATCCGGGTTCTGATACAAGAGGATACTAATGTGTTTGGATCAATTGCTATGAATTATGAAGTGGATCAGTCGGGTCTACTCTTCTACTGCCCGACAACTAAAGAAGCAGCTGCAGATCGAGATAAGTTGATGCGACTGATGATACCTGAGACGCTCAAACAGGCCATTTTGCATCACTATCATACGAGCTTGCAGGGTGGCTATCAAGGAATTGTCTGAAGCTAAGATCGGACCCGCGATCACTTTCACTTGAGAGGATTATATAAGAGTGTACAACGATACGTGGGAGAATGTGTCGATTGTGAAACAGGCAAAGGACGACCTTGGATCCAGGGTGAGTCGCCCGGTAACCTTCCGGCGACATACCCATACCAAGACATTGCTATGGATCACATACCTTTGCTGCCTAGATCCTTCAATGGCAATACCGAGTTGCTGATCTTCGTGGATCTATTCTTGGGATATGTGGTCGCCAAGGCCAGCGCCCCTAGATCCGCTCAAACAATCGTGGAGACTTACGAGGAATGGTTTTTCCGCAGATTTGGTGCGAGCGAGGTGATCCGATATGATCGAGAGCCAGGCTTCATGTCTGACTTCTTTAAGTCCTTCAACAGGAGCTTGGGCCAACGTCAACGTGCTATCATGTCTTATCGACCCCAAGCTAATGGATCCCCAGAGCGTATGGCCCAGACAACTACCAGGGCTCTCAAGATGTATGTGCAAGATCTGGATCAAAGAGATTGGGACGAATACGCTGATCGGCTCACCTTCGCGATCAACACGGCAAAAGACCGGATCCGAGGTGAAACCCCTTTCTATATGATACATGGTTGGGATCCTAGATCCCCCTTGGAAGCGATGGTCCCGGAGGGGAGCACTCGCATGCATGATCGAGATCCGAGAAGATGGCGATATCGGATGCAAAAGTGCAATCAACAAGCTCGAGAACAAGTGGACCAGCGTTTACGCGAAGCGATTGCGGATCGGGCTGACATGCATAATGATCTAGTACGTCCTCACCCTGTAGAGTCTGGATCAAGAGTCTGGTTATACCTAGATCGAGTGCGTGATGGATATGCAAAAAGCTGGTGCATTTTGTGGCATGGTCCATTCCACCTCGCCGAAAAGATCGGGAAATACGCAGTGAGGTTGGAGGGCGCAGGATCAACATACAGCATTTTCCCGGTGGTGCATGTCTCAAATATCAAACTGGTCAAATATTCCCAGATCGACCAGTAGCCCGTCTAGATGAGTCAGAAGGAGATCGGGTGGACTTCGATGAAGCTCGCCTACCTGAAGCCATCTGGATCCAGGATCGGGATCCGGATGAATACGAAGTGGAGCGAATTTCCGATATGAGGACGGGCAAAAAACTAGATATGGACGGATTTACCGAGAATTTCTGGTACACTGGCGTAGATATGAAGATCTAACCTGGGTAGATCAGGCAGATCTCAACTGCGGTGCTCTACTCTATGAGTTCTTGCGAGATCGCACTAATCGCAACCGTTTTGGTGTGAAGAAGTCTCACGAGGAGCCGTGAGATCTGGATCCACACCGATGAGTCGGTCATTGGTGTGGTTGAAAGTTGATGGATCTGTGAGGAGGTTGCAGATCGGAGGACAGGGTTTTCGTGACTTTGTATATGATGACATGTTGATAGAGGATCGGAGTGGAAAGAGATTGATTCTGAGATGGGCAGTGAATGTATTAGTCACTGCTCCGCGAGCCTCAATCCGTCGATACGTGGTAGTGATGCCTAGATGGTCATGAACAAAAAGCGTGCTGCTTAGCTCAATGCCTTCACCTAGTTGATGATACTTGATCTTTACTGGATCTGGACACCGTTCTATTTGCTGTTGCAAACAATCCCTATAACACGCTATGTGAAGAATAGAGAGAATAAACCCCTGACCGATGCCAAATTCACGAGTGCCTGTCGAAACCATCCAAAAGCTCATTGTACCTGGCCCGAGGAGATCAATCATTATCTTGCGCGGCATATCCGGAAGGTGGATGCCTCGGTAGATAAGATCCATGCACCACTTTTGAATACGGTCATAACACTTAAGACAGTCCTTGGATACCATAAACAAGTGTTCTCGTATTACCGCAGCTCGCTATCTCAGAAGTCTCACCAGCAGAGCTGCATCGGTTACCGTTCTATCCGTCTGAAACCCATGCTGCATCAAACAGATCGGAACTCCAGGATCCTCGTAGCGCCTAATAATGAGAAGAAGTCGACTCGAAAAAGCTGCTTGCACCGTAATTGGTCGACAAGGCGCCAGCCCGTGCAAGATATCTAGAGTAGGGTTAATGTGAGCAGCCTTCGGCAAAATATCATTTTTTCCCGATGTAGAATCGGATGTGCTTTCCCAATTCGTAAAATAAGTTCTATCACCCTCCTTTCTCGAGCTCGAATTGTAGCTGGATCTGCGATCCACATTTCTTGCGAAATTCCCCCAAAACTCGGTGCAACATGCTGTTTTAGATTACGATCTATATCAGTTTGCATCTCTTCAGTGCACACGTATTCTTCCCAGGTATTGTTTTCTTGCCTCCAGTACTCAGCATATTGACCACCTCTATCAATGTCCGGTAGTGCACAAAACCTAGTAGCGGATCGACATAATCAGCTGCTACCGTTTCCGAGAAACGTGACGATTCCATTTTTTCATCGGCAGGAATCCAATCGTCCAGTAGTTTGGTTAGTTCTGCTTGTACCTCACTAGGAGATTCCGTGTGCCGAAAACCAGTGGGCTCACTCACCAATGCACTACGTATAGATACTGGAGGTGCCTGGTTGCCCAATGTGCTCCTCAAAAACGTTTTAGGCCTCGGCCTGAGAACCAGGTTTGGCGCTGTTCCCGGATGCGGATTTGGCGCTG